TCAAACCTGATTTTTCTTAACCCAGAATAAATCCACAGTCTCTCATTTCCTGTGGAAACAAAAGCAAAACCTCTTCTCCAAAGTAACATATCTTTAGACTTCAATTTTGAAGTCAAGGTATTTTCAAAATACCTATCTTGGATTAATTCTGCAGCATTTATAAACAACTATCTATTAGCAGCTGTTACTCCTTCCTCAGCCATCAAACAATTTAAAGACAACACAATAGTATACAGTATCCAGACTCTGTGTATTTTCCATCTTTACATGGCTTTATTTTAAACTCTATTTTTTTCTTTTTCATTTTTGGTTTTTTGAGACTAGGTTTCTCTGTTATCTTTGGCTGTCCTGGCATTCACTCTGTAGACCAGGTTGTCCTTAAACTCACAGAAATCTACCTGTCTCTGCCTCCCAAGTGCTGGGATTAAAGGTGTGTGCCACCATACCCAACTACTCTCTTTCTTTCTTTTTTATTTTAAGGACTTTATTCTTTTTTTTCTCTCTCTCTCTCCCAAGCCTACATATGTTTTCAAACACACTGTAAAACATTTAGAGGTTTTCTTCATCTAAATCTATCTTTACTGTATATATCTCTTTTTATGACCACATGAGTCTTTAATTTGCTAAGCAATATGGCTACGATTAAAGCCATGGCTTTGATGGCTGGATCCACCCCATTTCTTAACTTTCTGAGAGTCTAAACTCATGGCAGAGGTACTGGCCAGAACCATGTTTATTGCTACAACTCTAGGAGTTTCAAGGTCCCTGCCATCACCAAAAAGCACATAGAGCATGTAGTTGGCTATTCATCAACACCATTTAAGTGTTTTGATAGTAGAGCCTCTTAAAAGAAAGCTGCAAGGTTTTTGCAGCTAAAGCTGAATCAGGAAGCCTCTCTTAAATGAGACATGCTTGTCTCTAGCAAACAGAGCGCACCTGAGAAAATGCTGCTACCAAGAAGCTCTGCGTAACTCTGTTCTTTTGTGTCTAAAATTACTTCCCAAGCTCTCTCAGGTTTTGTGTGGATATAGTTTTCCATGTTGACACCATTTTGCTGACCGAGATTTCTGTCCTGCCCAGTCCTGCAGTCGTTCAGTCCCAAAGAAACACACAAGAGGCCTATATTAATTATAAACTGGTTGGCCTATTAGCTCAGGCTTCTTATTAACTAAATCTTACATCTTACATTAGCCCATTATTCTTGTCTGTGTTAGCCAAGTGTGAATCATTAGAATTTGCTGTATTCCCCAACTGATAACTCCTGGGATATATATATATATATATATAAATAATATATAAATAATATATATTATATATTAATTATATATAAATAATATATAAGCACTTGCTTATATATTTTTGGAGAAAGAAAATTTCCATTTATAGTAGGGGGAGAGCTTCCAGGAAGATTTAGTTATTGATCACTGAACACACAAGTGCCCACTCTAGGTCCCAAAGAGGTATAATATTCTCCTTCCTGACATCACTGGAAAGCTGAGACTCAGGTGGTCCCTAGACCATCCCCTGAGCAGTGTCAAATATAAGAATGTTGCAAATTGTAGCCATCCCTGGCAGACAAGAGCTGAGAAAAAATTTGGAACTTAAAGGCACAGATTGCAGAAAATTGTACCTGCTGGATCTCCTTCACCGCCTGCAGAGATAAAGGGGAAAGAAGGGCAGGAAGGACACGAATGCTTCCTTTAGTGTCCCTAAGCCATACATGCAAAATAATAGAGTGGATGTGTTCTCTTGATCACCTTGTTGGAAGTTTATAAAAGGTCATTTGTGTTTTTCTTCTCTGCTCACATGTATAATATTTGCTCTTAAAAACATTGCAAATTTGCAGGAATATACAATAGTAATAATAATAATAATACACCTCCCAACTTGTTTGCTAGGCAATGACAGTTAATGAGTTGTTGTTTATCCACCAAGACGTTTTCTATGCATATCGCACGTGTATTTTTCCATCATGGCTTAATTTCTTGTTTATGTATGGTTGTATTTGTTGTTAAACATTTCTGGGCCTCATTTGAAACATATGGTCCTGTAGGACAGTGTGAGGCAATCCATTAGGCCATTAGTATCAGAGGTTGAATATTTGTGTGTGTGATTTGCTTTTCTTCCTTCTTTCTTTCCTTTTTTCTTTCCTTCTTTTCCTTTTTTTGTTTTGTTTTTCAAGACAGGGTTTCTTTGTATACCCTGGGCTGTCCTGTAACCTGCTCGGTAGATCAGGCTGGCCTCAAACTCATAGAGATCCATCTGCCTCTGCTCAGCAGTGCTGGGATAAAATGTGTGTCCACCCCCCACCCCCCACCCCCCACCCCCGGCTGTGTGTGGTTTTCGATATTTCCTTCTTAAAAGCACAAAACACTGTAGTCATTGATCGGTTAATCAAAAACTTCAGTAAGCAGCACTTGATCTACTGAGGCAGGAGGATTAGCAGTTCAAGGCCAGCCTGGGCTATACAACAGACCCTGTCTCAGAAAAGGAAAGGGCCTGGGAGCTGCACCATGCAAATTTCAAAATAAGGATTTGATAATAGAAAACTAAGCCACCCCACCACCACCCCTCCCCCCACCCACTCCAGCCACACATACATATTAGCTGCAAATCTAAGTGGTGTGGTGCCTTAAAACCCCCCACCCCCCCCATCTCCCAATCCCCGGCTTTAAAACCTGCTCCCTCCCTTGGCCAGTTCTATTCAAGACGGAGACTGTGGCTGCAAAGTAGAAGGCAGACCCTGCAAGCACGCTCCCAGCCGAGGAAGTACCCTGCCTGGAGTTTCTTCTCCGCATCTGATGCACAAGCACTCACACTTGCTTTCGCTTGATAAAGAATAAAGAAAGACAAGTGGCAGCTGCCGCAGGAGCAGACCGAAAACAAGCCTCGCTGGGCACCCCAGCCTTCACAAAGGCCGATTCAGAGGCTCGCAGACAAACGGAGCAGCTGAAGACTTCAGCACGGTCACCTGCCCCAGTGTTAATTGCACATTTAAAGGACCGGCTAGGTGACCAGAGCGTATTTCCAACTGGCCTTTCATTAAGATGGACAACAGAATGCAGATGAAGAACTGGAGATGGGGTGAGGTTGGACGGTGGTGGCGCACAGCTTGAAGCCCAGCAAAGGCAGGCAGGTCTCTCAGTTCAAGGCCAGCCTGGTCTGCAGAGCTAGTTCCTGTACAGCCAGAACTACATAAAGAAACCCGGTGTTAAAAAACAAAAGAACTGGAGATTGCTGCAGCCCTCGTCCCACCTCATTCCAAAGAGACCACAAGGGCCAGGAAAATGGAGAGAAGAGGCAGCCCTTTTCCAAGCTGTGTACATTGTTCGATAACTGGGAGGTGTTTTCCTTTTAAAAATATTAATACTCTTTTGTTTGGTTTTCTCTGTGTAGCCTTGGTTGTCCTGGAACTCGCTCTGTAGACTAGGCTGTCATATGTGTACTGTTAAATCTAGGTTCCACATATGAGAATATGTATTTGTCTTTTTCCCACTTGTTAACCTTTCTTGTTCCTTAAGACTGTCCCTATCACATGCAAATATATCGATTTATATAAGTATGTATAAAATCTAGATTCTAAATATGGGAGAAAACATGCAATGTTTGTTTTTATGGTTTTTGTTCATCATGACAGGGTTTCTCTTTGTGTAGCCCTGATTGTACTGGAACTCACTCTGTAGACCAGGCCGGCCTTGAACTCACAGAGATCCACCTGTCTCTGCCTCCTGGGTGCTGGGGTTTATGCTGTGTCGCTGCATCCAGTTCTGAACTCAACTTATTTCACCTGACATGATGCTCTTCAGTTCTATCCTTTTTTTTTTTTTTTCAAATGAACCAATTTCATTTTTATGGCTAAAACTCCATCATGTGTATCTAAAAAGGGGCATCCAGGCTGGTTCTGTGTCTTGGCTATAGTAAATGCTGTGTCAATAAACAGAACTGAATTTTGAAAAATCGTGTAGCTGTATCTATAAGGCGCTCCTGTAGTCATACAGTAATCTGTCAGACAAGATTTAGTTTCATTCCGGTTGATGTCCATTTCACCATGTTCATGAAAAGCCATCAAACTGTTAACTTTTAGAGATTTAGCTGCACTGCCAGTGTCCTCTATTCATAGTACCAGAGTGTCAAGGATGGAAACAGTGTTTCTTCTAACTTTTCAATTACATTTTGGCTTATTTTTCCATTTTTAGGTGTATGGGTGTTTTGCTTGCATGTCTGTGCACCATGTGTGTACCTGGTGCCTGAGGAGGCCAGAAGAAGGCATCAGATCCCTGGAATTAGCATTACAGATAGTTGTGAGCACCTTGTGATTGTTGGAATTGAACTTGGGTCCTCCAGAAGAGCAGCCAGTGCTCTTAACTACTGAGCTGTCTCTCCGACATTTTGTGTGTGTATGTGTGTGTGTGTGTGTGTGGTCAGTTCTCTCCTTTCATCATGTCCCTGATATTGAGTTCAGGTCATCTTACTTTGTGCCAAGCAGCATTACCCACTGATCGACCTCCTAAGTAGAAAATTTTTTTCCCATTAAAATGTTTACCAACAAAGTATGTTGTAGGAAGCCACTTGTTTTCCTGGCCACCCAGACTCCCAAAATAATTACACAGAAACTATATTATTTAAATCACTGCTTGGCCAATCACTTAAGTGTATTGCTACCTAGCTCTTACATCTAGTATTAACCCATTTCCAGTATTTTATATTTTACCACAAGGCTTGTGACCTACCAGCCTGTCTGGCAGCTCCATTGTTTCTCCCTGACTCCACCTCTTTTCCCCCAGCACTCAGCTCTATTCTACCCTATCACAGGCTCAAGACAGTTTCTTTATTAACCAATGGCGTTCACAGCATACAGAGGGGAATCCCACATCAAAAGTACATGATAAACTGATTCATTTGAGAATCAAAGAAAATCATCATTATTAGTGTTGTTTCTGTTACTGTTTTGTTTTTGTTTTTACTATGTATTCCTGCCTTGCCTGGAACTAACTGTGAAGACCAAGCTGCCTGTGGACTCAGACATTCTCTGCTCTGACTCTGAATGCTAGACATAAAGGAAGGCATGTGCCATCACATCCAGCAGTAGTAAGTTTCTTCACTATCTCTTGGTGAATTCAACTTTGTATGTAAAGTCTGAAGAAATATTAACTGTTGTACATCTTCACATAAAGGCTCTGCTCATTTACTTCAGATAAACTTTAGAATTTTTCTGAGGCTTGTAATATTTTCTTTGACAATCATATAGAGATCAGTTACTGAAGAATATAATAATACTTAAACCAAATTTTCTGTGTGGTGGTATACACCTTTAATAAGCACTCAAGCAGAGGCAGGCTGAATTCTGTGAGTTCCGGGAAGTTTGATCTATATAACAAGTTCAAAGACAGCCAGGGGTACCTAATGAGACCTGTCTCAAAAACAAAGAAAGGAAAAGTATTATTACTATCAAAGGAACATGGATATAGTATGTATTTATATTTTAAATGGACCTATCATCTTCCAAGGCTTACGATGAAAAGCAATGGTTTCCTGTGCTTCCCCAGTCTGACTCGTCCCAACCACTTAGAACCATTTCTTTTCAATTATAGCCCAAAACCATGCAGCTAGTTTATGGCATTTGCACTTTGGCTTTCTGGTACTCTTCTGCCGAGTTCTAATTTCCTATTCCAGTTTGGACCAGTTTTCTTCTCAGACATGCTATCCACTTGCCATGCAGAGGTTTCTTTTTATTGGAATCAGATTAATTTTGCTTTTTATTCTTTAAACTTCAGTTTTAAAGCTACTTTTGGCACCGGGGGTTGAAGCCAGAGCTAGATTATTATTAGTAAACAATTTCACTAGGTAAATAATCTTCCTCTGTGCTAGATCCTACTCCAGCTCTTTGCTTTACCTTCATGTCGCTACAATAAATCTCCAAATAACATCATCACGAAATAAGTTTTCTAGTCTCAGATTTCTATGAACCTTTTTTGGGGGACTCTCAGACTTGACGGGTAATTTAGATGTAGCTTAGCTTGGAAGATTTTTGTCCTGCTGTCTTTCTAACATGCAGTATGGTTGATATGGCTACTGCACTAAGCTTTTTCATCGGACTTTCTTGGACTACCAGCTTGCAAATAATGACATGGAGATTTAGTATGAATGCTTGGCCTTAGCTTAGGCTTTTTCCCAACTAGCTTTTGTAACTCCGATTAGCCTGCTTCTATTAATCTACATTCTGCCACATAGCATGTCCAACTTGTTCCCAGTCTGGTGGCGAAATACTCGCCTAGATTCCTCCTCTTCCTCTCTCTCCCCGTGAAAGGCCCACCTATTCTCTGTCTAGCTACTGACCATTCAACTTTTTACTAAATCAAAGCATACGTCTTCAGTGTACAAAAAGATTATCCCACAACTGGCTAGTGTTTTAATGACAGGGAAAAGACAAAACTTTAAAAATATATGGTGTTTTTTACTTTAGATATTTATCTGTGGGTGTGTGCACAGAGGCCAAAGGAAGGTGCCAGGTGCCTTCTGGAATGCTAAAACTATTTGACGCAGCACTATGCTTTTTGGCTAGGCTGGAAGCCAGCAAACTCCAGCAGCCCTCCTGTTTCCACTCTCCCAGAGCTGGGTTACAGGACTCTGCTGGATAACCAGTTTCTTACCTGGGTGCTGGCGTCCTAATTCCAGTCATGGCTGCACAGTGAGCACTCTTAATCTTTGAGCCTTCTCTCCAGCTTATTTTTAGGTTTTGTTTGAGACAGGGTCTCACATAGTAACCTAGGCTGCCCTTGAACTCAAGGAAATCCTCTTGCTTCTGCCTTAAATGCTGGATTCCAAGTGTCCACCACCAAACACAACTGAAGTGTAAGGTTTTAGTAAGACTGAAGATATTTATCTTAATCCTTAAAGCACTACATCATAACTCATATTAAGGTATATGGTATATTACCACAACCAATCATTTACTATACTATTAAAGAAGAGAGCACTGATGTTTCACCAGCCATCTTTTATTAATGCAATATATGTTCATAAACTCTAGACAGTATTTTAAAATATACAATCTCTCAAACGGAATATTTCACTAAGGAGAACAATAGATAACTTTATGGTCATCAGAGGTTTCACAGCACAATGCACAGAAATCTGCAGGTGTTGTGGGGAGCAGGGGCTTCACTCTTGAGCGAGCCGCTCGATGACACGCCGGTAGTCCTCCACCAGCTCCTGAAAGCGCTCCTCCAGCTGCTCGTGCTGCACGCTTATCTCTATCTGGTTCATCTGGTTGGTCAGCTCTTCCGGTCTCAGGCATTTCTTCATCTTGGCAAGATCTCTCTGCTTTTTCTAAGAAAAACAATTACTTTTTTTTAGACAAAGAAAGCATTTGCTTATATAGCTACAATTTTAAGCCTTACATATTAAAAATAATAGTAGCTGGGCTAGAGATAGCTCAGCAGTTAAAAGTACTGACCGCTCAGAGAGGGCCTGGGTTCAATTTCCAGTACCCACATGGCAGCTCACAACCACCTATAACTCCGGTTCCAGGAGATCCATACACTTTTCTGAAACTCTGCAGGCTTCTGCATAAACCCAGGCACACACACATAAAATAAATAAATTAAAAAAAATAATGGCAATGTACTTAGTTTTGTCCTATGCAGGTTCTTCATTAAGGAAACACAGGAATTGCAAACCTTCCAAAGAGTTAGCAAGACCTAGTACTCGTGTCAAATGGTGGCAAACACATACATGTGGCTAGTAACCAGCTCTGACCTAGGACTGATGGTGCACACTTACAATCCCAGCACTAAGATGTAGTCAGGTACTGAATGCTATCCTGAGCTACATGAGACCCTATTTCAAAAAAGTCATTAGAAACAAAAACTATAAACAATAACAAGTTGCCAGGGTGAGCATTAACTCAGCATTAGAGTGTCTTACTCAATGGAGACACGCAAACATTTCTTAAATAAAATACATTAATTGAAGATAACGGACATGATGTACAGCTATTCTTACTTTACTGCAAAATGATTACTTTTTATTTCTGAATATTCAATAATGAAAGTTTAAAGTAATATATCACGATCAAGTAGAATTTATTCCAGGAACCATTATTAATATAATGGATGGAATTCTACCCCATTAAAGAATAGATCTTGCTATAAAGCCAAGGTTAGCCTGGAACCTGCAATCCTCTTGCATCAACAGCCCAAGTGCCAGCTAAGTTATTAAATTAGGCAGTTATAGACACATGCCACATACCTGCCAATAATCCTTTTTTAAATTAAAAAACAAAAATCACACACATATACAGTTTTTTGTTATTTAATTTTGTTAACTAGTGTGGTACCCAGGGAGACCAGAAGAGGTGTCAGATCCCCTGGAGCTAGAGTTTTAGACTCCATAGTTATAAGCTGCCATGTGGGTGCTGGGAATCCAAGTAGGGTCATCTAGAAAAACAGTCAGTGCTCTTAGGCACAACTCCCCCCGCCCAGGTACATGTATACACTGCATGTGAGGCACTCACTCCACCTTCTAGTTAGTCTCCTCCGTCTTAGAGGGTCTTACTTGTATTTTCATGTTATATATACACATTTGTAAAACCACTAATTTTAAGAGTTTTGTTGTTGCTTTGTGATGCTGGGGATCAAACCCAGTTTTACACACACTAGGCAAGTGTTCTATTGCTAAGCTGCAGCTTCAACGTTAATTATATTAGTTTTCAGTTCCAAAATGACAGTTTCCTGCCACTGTGCTCATTTCTAGGTCCTCTAACTAAATATATTTATACTCTTCTACTTATACAACATATTAACTGTATTTGCTACTGCGTCTACTAGCTCATGACAGACATTGTATTAAGTCTTCCTCATTTTGTAAAAATTGAAATCACTATGCTGAGGAGTTTGCAAGAAGTAGCTGGTAACAATTTTATGTAAGACACCAGTGTCAGGCTAATCCTGGCAGTGCTGTTCAGGATGGCAACACCAGGACTAAGTTAGTAGCTACTGCAGTAGGTAGAGCATGAGACTCTTAATCTCAGGGTCATGGGTTCAAGCTGAAGATCAGAAAAACTTAACAGCCAAGCCACTAGAGAAGTCTTACCTCTACCAAGGCTAGGAAACTGCAGACTGAGCCCTGAGACTGTCTTCTCCTATTTTATATTCCCCTTTAGTACAGGGATTAAAAGCATGTGACTCCCTAGTACTGGGATTAAAGATACGAGCAAACACCACCTGGATCTGTTTCTCCATTGATTTTGTGTAGCCCAGGGTGGCCTTGAACTCACAGAGATCCATCTGCCTCTGTCTCTCAAACCCTGGGAGCAAAGGTGTGTGATACCACTACCTGGCCTCTAGTGGCTTAGTTTTATCCTCTGATCTTCAGGCAAGCTTTATTTATTAAAACATAAATATCCCTATACGAGATGGTGCAAGGTCAAACAAGACAGAGATCCCTCCGTCAGAAGTGGAGGGAGAGGGCAGATGCAAAGGAAGCACTAGATAATGGGGAAAGAATGAGAAGTACTGCTGGTATGCCTACTTACTCCCAGAACATGAGCGTCTCATGTTTTGGACAAGGTGTTCTGAATTATCAAATCAGTTGTTTCACTACAGCAGGCGCTAAAGAGTTGGTGCTCATCTAACATGAATGAAGTCCTTGGTGGGGTAAACTCCTAAATTCCAGCACCCGTGATGTTGAGACAGGAGGATCACAAGGCTGAGGTCATGCTGTTACACAGTTAGTTCAAAGCCAGCCTGGGCTTTAAAAAACAAACAAAACTGACTTCATACATACCACAAGTTATATATAATTTTATAATCCCAACAACTCTGAGAAAAATATTAGATGGAGGGAAAGTGATGAAGGATCTAAACAACTTGGCCAAGTTCAGAGACAGTGAGCCAAGAAGTTAGGATTTTGTTGGTATTCTGATTCTAAGTCTGTTTAGTATTTCAAAAGGCAATAAAAACAACTCAAACCACATTAAGCCCATTCTACAGCTGATAAATGTCTCTTAAAGTGAACCTATTTGTAACTGTGGAATACCAGGCAAATATGCCATGCTCATTACTTTTAAACAAATCTGTATGAATATA